ATGATATTGTGTCGCACGCCGTAGGGAGTGGTCTGCGGGTCAATCACATACACACCGCTGTCGGCCGGTGTCAAGAGTATCGCCTGGTGTCCCATCAGAAACAATAGTCCGGTGCCCTCTTCGACAGGTGCGGCCACCGGTTCCTCCGAGTAGTCCTCTTTGGACCGAATTGTGTGCAGAATATTGGTGTAGACCTCACGACAGACGGGACACCGATTGTGTTGACGACTCCACTCTTGAATACATGGGTAACAGAACTCGTGTAGACATGTGTTAGTGTAGGCCCTGTTCTGCACCCGACAGATACACACCGGACAGTCGGGCTCTCCCTCTTCGTCCGGAATCACTGGTCGACTCCTTTGGCCGACTCCTGTGCCCACACTTTCGCCGCCGTTAGAGCCACTGGTTTGGCCCGAAGTGGCGCCCGACTGGTGGCCAGTGTTTTGACTGCCATTTGAATGATTGTCGCTATTATTGACCATTTCTAATGGGCTCTGAAGTGATGGTAACTCTTTTGATTGGCACCCGTTTCGTGGCTCTAGTGGTGCACTGTTTAGAGCCACAACTGTTTTGATAAATCGAGCCCTAAATCAGTTATTATTGAAGTAAAATTTTGGTTAAATTTAAATTCAAAAATATTTCATGATTTTTAATTTATTGAATATATTTTAAAAACAATTTTCTAACAATAGGTACAAAAATAATTTCAGTCAAAACAAGTAAACAATTATTTTATCTAATTATCTAATTATTTATATAATCATAACATTATAATTGAAAAATATTAAATTAGTTGTGGTGTAAAATATCAAATATCAAGTTAATTGTATAATAAATTAAGTGTATATTAATAAATAATTATAAAAACTAAAACAATTTAACAATAAAGCTATAAAATACAGCGTAAATCTGTGTCACAGAAAAATAAATAGAAAAATATAATTAATTTACAAAATTATTTCAAATAAAAGAGTTTTGGCAATAATTTAAAGTTTGTTGTGATCATAGAGTAGTTCATCGATTGTCGAGTACTTCTTCGTATCAGTAGATCCGTTCAGAAAAGCGGTCAAAATCATAGAGTGTCCCAACTTTGATGAAGCGATCGAGAGGTGAAGGTTTCCATCTGTAGACCAAAATGACTTGACATTCACGACGCCGGGCGTCGGTATCGTCTCAATCACTTCAAACTTATTATATCCTCGATATTGCAGTACATAAGTGGCGCCCAATCGATGGCTCGCAGCCGCTATATATGTCTGTTGGGAGACTTGAAACGTATCCAAAGAGATGACACCATTGATGTCGAGGATCTGAAACAACTCGTAATCGATGCCATTGAAGCGAAGGATATACAAGTGCTGTGTATAGGGCTTATTGTCTTCGTTGCAATTGTTGCCATCATTTGGTGACCAATCGTTGGCGGAAACGACAAAGAGCTCATTATTGGCCGTCGAGACCGTTATGTTAGCACTCGGTTGGGATGAGAGCCGCGAGTTTAGACGCGGCGGCGATTTGTTCAATAATCTCGGATCCGATTCGTAGATCTCTTGCGTTAGGAAAAAGTGATCGATTCCTATATTTAAGCACAAAAATATATAAAAATAATTGTATAAAGTATTTAAATACTTATTTTATGATTAATATGATAAAAGTTTTAAGTTTAAAACAACTTATAAAAAGTTTTACTAAAAGTTAAAGTATTTTTTACCAGAAGAGCGATCCTTATTAAGCGCTGCGAACTGAGCCTCGAGTGTCTTTCCCTGTCTTCTCAACTGCAGTCCGATTGCGTCCAAATGTTTGTCTACTTCTGTAGTAAGTTTGCCGAAGAAGTTGGCCATATCTGAGATATCGTATCCATTTAGGCGGCCATTGATATGCATTTGTCTCATAGACACGGGTTGTATAAACTCAGTGTTTCCGGTGATAAACTCAGGCTTTGTTAGACTGACAGCTCTGTTGACGAGATTATGAATATTGATGCCATTGTAAACACCCGGCGATTGAATATTTCCTCTGACAACTAGATCGGAGGCAAAAGTCTTGGAACCGGTGATCAAATATCTGCCTTTAGTGGTGACAAACGCGTCGACCGGTATATTATTGATCGTTTTCCTGACGACTAAGTTATCGACAGTCACTCTATTTGTGAAGTGAAGCGCCGATTGAATCAACTCTCTGTCGCCATCGAGAGTGAGCCGATTGGCGACAAAGTGAGTCAAATTGATGCCATCGATGTTTTCCTGACGACTAAGTTATCGACAGTCACTCTATTTGTGAAGTGAAGCGCCGATTGAATCAACTCTCTGTCGCCATCGAGAGTGAGCCGATTGGCGACAAAGTGAGTCAAATTGATGCCATCGATCAGTCCGTTGACAAACAGACCTCTTAGGCCAGAGATCCAGCGCTGGAATCGCGTCACTCCAGCGATCGATTCATTAGTGTTGACAAGAATCACATCATTTGGGAATGAGATTCCGCTGAGTTTACCGCCGATGAACGCGTCCCTCTTGAAAGTCACTCTTCCGGTCAATGTCTTGACGCCAGTAATTGGTCTCTGAGTTGCCGACGGACCAGTCGAGCCCTGTTTCACTGTTGTCTGATCCAGTGTCACGATGTTTACTCCGTTCACCAGTCCTTTCACGCTAACAGCGCCGTCCACTTGAGTACGGGATCCGTTGGCTATCAAAGAGGGTCCAGAAAAATCCTTTTTTGAAACAATTGTTTGAGGCATTGTCTTCAGGACCGCGTCGTTCAATATAAAAGTCAAATTCCTGCCATTTATAACATTTCTTAGGATCAGATGCTCGACCATCACATCGTTCTCGAAGGTAACCGGAGCTCTGATCACTTGAGCGTCCGTTCGGCTCACTATCTGCGAGACTAATCGGTTAAAGTCGACGCCATTTATGGGACCCTCAATCATAACGTTTCCCAAGACATTCAAACTGTCAAACTCTTTGGCGCCGCGAAGGCTCTGGAAGTGACTGATGGAGTCGCGTAGGACAGCATTCCTCTCCAGATCTCGTAAATCGCATCCATTCCCTCAATCATAACGTTTCCCAAGACATTCAAACTGTCAAACTCTTTGGCGCCGCGAAGGCTCTGGAAGTGACTGATGGAGTCGCGTAGGACAGCATTCCTCTCCAGATCTCGTAAATCGCATCCATTGATAGTTTTGCCAACAAAAATGTCTGTCAGTGCGGACACAGTCTGATTGAACCGATTATTGCCACTCAATAGCAGATTATTGCCGACAAATGCCAACTCATTTGGTCTCAAGCCGTCAATAGTCGCCGGCGATCGCAGCGTAAGGTGTCTTAAATGAAGATCATTGACAAAAGTCATTGGCGCCAGAATCACGTTATTCCTGGTTCTCGACAGTACTCTTCGGGCTAAGTCGACGACATTAATGCCATTAACAGTTCCGCTAAGATTCAGATCTGATCTGAGTATTACACTGCCATTGAATGTCTTAAAGCCGCGAACAATTATCCCCTTTTGATTCTTCAGTATAACATTGGGACCAAATTCGCGTATTTTAATGCCATTCAACAAATCGCTGATTAAATCTGAGACAAAAACAGTGTTTTGAGTGAAGTTCTTGTGCGAGAAAACCTCTTGTCGTGTATCCAAAGTGACAACATTTGACTTCATGTAATTAATATCAACGCCGCCAACAGTGCCCTCAACCACCATATGTTTGGCACCAATTCCAGCCGCAAAGTGCTTATTGATAATCGGTCTCTGATGTCTTGCCGGCCAGTGATCGCTCAGCACCAGGTCTTGAGCGAAATGCGATAATTTTTCGTTATTAACAGTTGTTTTCACATTAATATCGGACATGACTTCCAGCTGACCAGAGATGTGAGTCGTGGGACTCATTAATATGAGATTACCATTAATTATTTGCTTCCCATAAGTCAACATCACGTCAGATGTGGCGAAACCGTTAACATTAGCTGTGATTACGTTTCCCAACACTTTCACAGATTTCATATGTATTTCGCCGCCAATAATATCTATGGGATTATTAATGCCGTCTTTTTTAACCACTCGTCTCTCAAATGACTTCAGATCTAAACCATTAACTCGTTTGCCATCTCTGAGCGCAACGTTTCCCTTAACGATCACTGGATTATTAAACCACTTTTTGCCAGCAATTACTTCGTGTGGATTCTGTGTTTTGTGCACAAAATCCTCCGGAACTCTGAACCCATTGACATTAGGAGATGATAATTGTCTTATATTGAGCGGACCCTCTATTACCACCGGAACTCGTATTGTTTGGTTCGCAGACTTAAGCCATAGAATATGCGGCAAATCTTTGACAGGATATTGATTAATATGTTTGGCGATTATATTTCCGACAACTATAAGCTTTCCGACAGTGACCGGAGCCTCAAACACAGTGTTTGTCTTATTGATGGCCAGTTTGAGCAGTTCCGAGGGGTCAGTGCCGTCCAAAGTGCTTCCGGAGTCCATTGTTATGTCAGACAATACGGTAATTGTTTTGTTAAATATTTTTCTGCTCACCAATTGCTTGAGAGGAGTGTTTTTCAGCACAGAATCGGCCCTCAAATTCATGCCATTAACAGAATTAGTCTCTATATTGTTAGCAAAATGTACGGGTGTTTTGAAAACATAGTTTCCCGTTATGTTTTGAATAGTGTTTGTCGTAATCACATCCGTCTTGAGCTTAAGACCATTGAAGCGACCGTTGAGGGCGACGTCTCCCCGAACACCAACGGGACCTTTAAATTGCTTGCGGCCGGCGATGTGCTGCTCGCCATCAATGGTCACCGCATTTAACGCCAATTCAGTAATGTTCGCCACTTTATTAATAAGGCCTTTGATAGTCATTTGGCTGACAGTAATCGGCGAATCCATTATCAACTGTCCGGTGATGTGTTGAGTCGGGCCGTTAAGACGTACAGCTCTGCGGGCGATGTCACCGATTTTGTGGCCATTTATAGCTCCAGACATCGCTATAGACGTCGCGTCTAAAGAGTTAAACACTTTATTGCCACCAATTTCTTGTTTTGGTCCCGTTTTGGTGACGATATGGGCGGGACGTATGCCATTGATTGAGCCAAACTTAACACAGTGTTTGTCTTATTGATGGCCAGTTTGAGCAGTTCCGAGGGGTCAGTGCCGTCCAAAGTGCTTCCGGAGTCCATTGTTATGTCAGACAATACGGTAATTGTTTTGTTAAATATTTTTCTGCCCACCAATTGATTGAGAGGAGTGTTCTTCAGCACAGAATCGGCCCTTAAATTCATACCATTAACAGAATTAGTCTCTATATCTTTAGCAAAATGTACGGGTGTTTTGAACACATAGTTTCCCGTTATGTTTTGAATAGTGTTTGTCGTAATCACATCCGTCTTGAGCTTAAGACCATTGATGCGACCGTTAAGGGCGACGTCTCTCCGAACACCAACGGGACCTTTGAATTGCTTGCGGCCGGCGATGGACTGCTCGCCGTCAATGGTCACCGCGTTTAACGCCAATTCAGTTATGTTCACCACTTTATTAATGAGACCTTTGATAGCCATTTGGCTGACAGTAATCGGCGAATCCATTATCAACTGTCCGGTGATGTGTTGAGTCGGGCCGTTAAGACGTACAGCTCTGCGGGCGATGTCACCAATTTTATGGCCATTAATAGCTCCAGACATCGCTATAGACGTCGCGTCTAAAGAGTTAAACACTTTATTGCCACCAATTTCTTGTTTTGGTCCCGTTTTGGTGACGATATGGGCGGGACGTATGCCATTGATTGAGCCAAACTGGCGGTGAAGGTTCAGATGGGAGTGGAGAGAGACATCTCTGTACACATGATTGCCAGTGACTTCTTGAATGTGCGACCAATTGGACAGCAAAACGTCGCTGACATTCACGTTATTGATCGCTTGTCTCACCACCAGATTGTCTACTGTTAGGCCATTATTGAGTGACAAATGAGCGTTAATTACTTGATTGCCATTGATTTTCAATGACTCTTCGGCTAATGTATTCACTTTAATGCCATTCAAAAGCATATCGTTGTTCGCAACGCTCTTAACAGATGAATGTCCGGCACTAATAGGCTCTGTAAACACTGTCCGGCCCTCTATTATCTGATCGCCTGTCTTGTAGACTAAGTTATGCATGTCGTTAGCGATTGTGTCCACTCTATTAGTGAGTCTATTGACCCGAGAGTTCACATCAGTGTTAGTGATTTGTGGCACCGGTTTGTTGCCGTTCGTCAGCAGTAATGTCTTAGCGCTTAATGAGTTAACTATCAGTTTCCCGGTCACTACGACCGGCGACTTTACTTCTTGGAGCTGATCCTTCAGCCAAACCCGATCGGCCTGTTTGGTCAGCTGTACGAGTCCTTCCTCGCGATTCGTCAAACTTTGCTCCAACTTCTTGAGACAAATCCTGAGCGGATCCGTTTCGTGGTGATGTTCGGGCGGCGGTTTGCCCATCAGATGCAACCTCCAGACCGCACTCAACGGCGCTTTCATCAGGTCTTCAAACGTGAAAACCGCGAAATAGGCTCTCTTGAGGTACGCGAAGAGTTTAATGTCGACAAACGCGGGCTCAGGTATGACCAGTTGTCCGTCCGGTTCGTACTTAGCGTTCGGCGATTCCGTGAAGAAAACGACCCGATCTTTGAAAAGAAAGGCCAACAATATCTCGGCGTTGGGCAGTCGTGTGACGGCCACAGCCATGGCGTGTTCGGTCTCCACCAGATCCTGATAGATGAGAAACTGGTCGCCGGCCCACCAATAGATACGCGACCTCTCGTATGGGTTCACAAATATCAGGTAATCGTTGCCATCGACGCGAAAGTGATCCACACGTGTGGCGAAATGCGGGATCACCTGAACGGCTGTCAACTTTTCGTCTTCGCGACTGTTGTAGAAGAAAACAGCAGATCCGCCGACGAAGTTGTTGTTATATTGTTTTCCCATTGTGAGGGATCGGTTGTATTGGGCGACAGCCATATACAGTGCGCCCGACATTTGAAACAGTTTGACAGAAGTGGCGGAATCGGTCCGCGCGCTCGCGATCTCATCGAACTGCGTGTGACGCCACTCATACAGCGTCGCCGATGTCTGCAGAGTTGTGCCGACGGACGTCCTCTTCATGTAAGAGCTGACAGCCATATAAGGCCTGTCGCCGCTCTGGATGACGTCGAAGTCGCTCTGGATGTCCATCTCGATGGTCTGTCTTCGGCGAAAAGTGCGAGCGTTCGGGTTGTACTCATAGACGGCCAGGTATTCACGTTCGCCGCGCGACTTGAACGCCACCACAAGCCATATGTACGACTCGTACAGAAAGTACTGTGTCTTAAACGGCACTCCATTACCCTTTTCGAAATAATAGGCCAGTGGTGTCACTTCGGCGATCTGGTCCTGTGTCTTAACGCCCGCCGGAATCATCTTCAAGTTGGCCAAAACCAACAGTCCGTTCGCGTGACCGGAGAAGAGGTACGTGTAGTGAACCGAGTCCTCGATGACAGCCCACACCCGAATCGGTCCGTTTTGGCGATTGCCCGACAATACATGGCTCGGTAGTTGGCCAAAACCAACAGTCCGTTCGCGTGACCGGAGAAGAGGTACGTGTAGTGAACCGAGTCCTCGATGACAGCCCACACCCGAATCGGTCCGTTTTGGCGATTGCCCGACAATACATGGCTCGGAATTGCTGTGGAAGTGTTGACAACTTTGAGGTCCTGTTCGGTGAGCGCTGCGGAAATACAGCAAAAAAAATAACAAAGTGGTCGTAAACTAGCGGTTCATAAACACTGATGATATGGTTGACTTGATGGCAGACTTACCCCCTTTCGATGGCAAAGTGTAGTCCTGTTTGCGTCTGACTCTCGACTGTTCAAATGATTTGTGAAAATTTAGTTTAAAGGTATTCACGGTTTGCGTCAAAAAGTCCAGAAAGTCCTGAGAGTCCTGTGAGTCCTGAGCGTTGAGTAATGCTATTGAAGTAGGCGTTGAATTACATATCAAATTAAAAGTACTTATAATTATAATTAATACATACTTATGAATGGCAATAACACCGCAATTAACACAATTGATAGTTTCATTTTGCGTTAACCGATGGGTAAATTAACAATATATAGCAAAAATTGAATATCAATTAATAAATTGCAATCAATTTTGTGAACACATTTCAGACACACAATCAGTGAAATGACCGAAACGAGTGCCTAATGTATAATGAAATGCAGCGACAAATATGCCCTTAAATTCAATCCAAATCCTAAACCTCCTCCAAAAACGCTAATCCCTTATCATCTCAACCAATGCTACACTCAATTCAAACACATATAACTAAAAACTAAAGTTAACTAAACTTTATCGACAAAAAAGCGATAATCAAATCAGATAATGAAAAAACACCAAAACTATGGAAAAAATACATAGAGTTTAGGGGAAAAAAAGTTTACAAAACTTTTCAAAAAAGTTTCACAAGTTTTACAAAACTTTTTCAAAAGTGCCAAACAATAAATCACTACTAATCCCATCTAACATAAGGCATTCACATTAGCCTACAGAGTGTCCATCAATGCCGTCACCTCTATATGAGACCCCATAAGCATAAAAATGCGCTCAAAATACACATAATATTAGACGTAATGTGTGTTCAGACGTGATATTTATGGCAAACTTTAAGCGCATTTTGCAAACAATCGATGGATTGTATGGTTTGGGCGCCAATCGGTTCCCATAATGTTTGGGTCCATTGAATGCCATTTGTATTGACACTCAGCAGACATTTAAACACATTTTACACACAAACCACTCATTTGTGTAAACATTTGTTTAATTCATGTTTTAATTCATTTGTAATATTGTTTTATATACAATACAAACCAATTGTATTGATAGTCAGCACCGGTTTGTTGTTGTGATCGCCAGTTGTCTTCTAATTGATCCCATTGTCTGCTCCCATTGAACGCCATGTCTTTGTTTATGAACGAGCGGTCAGTCTTCGGCGATCTCAACGCCACCAATGAGTTGGAAATGTTGGACAATATCTATGGTATGTAATCATGTCTTCGGAGGAATCACTCCTTCGGCAACCAATGATAACAATACTAACCATTGATTGTCTCTCTCTTTGTCTCTTCACCCGTATATGTGATGCCAACCGACAGACCGGACGATAATAACGGCCAATTCGGCGAATATACTGAACATATTGTCCGAGTCTTCGGCACTGAATCCCGAAGAAGAGGTGATCCGGAAGAGAGGCCGCAAGAAGACGCCCAAAGTATCGCAACTGCCGTTACGGCGATCGCCGCGCAAAGCGCCGTCCAATGGCGCGGAACGGATGGCACTGTTGTCGCCCGTGAGGTCTTCGGCGCCGCAATCGGACGGTTCGCACGACTATTTCCTGCGGACGCCGTCGAAGAAGACGCCGTCCAAGAGCTCGACTCCGGGCCGAACGCCACGCAAAACGCCGTCCAAGTCATCGGCGGCCACGCCGTCGACCCCACGGCGAGTGTCGCCCCGAAAACGGCTCCAATTGGACAGCAATGACAGCGGACTCGGACTGACGCCCAGTCCCAGCCTATACAGGGGTCAAGAGTTGACGCCAGTGGTGGGCAACGGATCCAATCCCAAGAACTCCAAAAGCAAGTCATCGACAAAGAGTGCAAACAGTTTGACCAGAAGAAGACGGCGACGATATTTTTGATGACAATGTTTTTCTTCGGAACCGCTTTTATATTTATTTTCAATTTTTAAGTCTCTTTTATCATAATTTTTTTCGCTCAAGAATTTTACTCCCATTTTATTCCTCCGAAACGATTGAATCCATTAATTAATGTCATTTCTTGCTCTCAAAGCCATTGTTATTTCATACCATTACTTGTCTTATATGGACAGCAGATCTCGCATTGAATTTACATGTTTTTAGTCTTTAATTGTCGCTAATTTTGACAATTATTTTAATATTTTACACAAAACCCGAATAGAAAACATACTTTTAAAGTGAATTGCCTTTTGATTTACTCAATGATTAAATTAACCTCTTTTTGATTTGCAATTTAATTAATGCTAAACCCATTGTGTGTTAATTTAATGGTTAATACAATAGTTAATTACTTGTGTTTTTGTGCGGCAATTAATGTATTTAATTAAATATATGATTAATTTCTAGATTAACTTAATTAACAAATAATATATACAAAAAACAACAACATTTGCGAATATTTTAATTGAAAATGTTTGGCGAAAATGATGTTTAAACACTAATATATGGTTTTATGGGTCCCTTTTAAATGCCTTTTCAAATGGTGTTATATATTTGTGAATAACTTTTCTGTTTGTTTATGTGTTTGCCTTATATTATGGTAACTCTTATCGCAAACAAACAGTTTTTTGTTGTGTTATGTTTGTTGCGAATGAATTTTTGCTGCAAAACCAGATCTTGTTATCAGATTCTTTGCGCTCAAGAAATACATTTATTTTCATATTAAAACTCCGGCTATAAGTGAGACGACGGGTAAGAGAGAGAGAGAGAGAGAGAGAGAGA